TACTTGGGAGGCAGAGGCAGGAGACTCGCTTGAGCCTAGAAGTTGGAGGTTGCTGTGAGCTGTGATGCCATGGCACTCTACCCAGGGGGACAGCTTGAGGCTCTGTCTCAAAAAAATAAAAAAACAATGAAAAGGGCGGTGCCTATGGCTCAGTGAGTGGGGCGCAGGCCCCATATACCAAGAGTGGCGGGTTCAAGCCCGGCCCCAGCCAAACTGCAACAACAAAAAAAATCGCCAGGCGGGCACCTGTAGTCCAAGCTGCTCGGGAGGCTGAGGCAAGAGAATCACCCAAGCCCAAGAGCTGGAAGTTGCTGTAAACTGTAATGCCATGGCACTCTACCAAGGGTGACAGAGTGTCTGTCTCTAAAAAAAAAAAGTTGTTATTCAGCCCTCACCTATGAGGGTACAGTTCAGCCCCTAAAGCTAATCTCTGAGCTCCCAGCCTGACTGAGCTGCCCTACACGAAGCTTTAGTTCCAAGATAGCCATACAGCCCTGACCAGTCCACAACCCTCTTCCCCCCAAAAGGACTCCAGCCCATAAAGTGTATACAACAAAGAGATTTTAATGCATAGGCACAGTAAGGCTGGACTCATTAGGCATCTTCCTACCCAAAGAGCCCAGCAGGATGAGCAAAAGTAGTAGGGACACTACCCCCAGCAAGCGCTGGGCATCCTAGAGAACCCCCAGAGGAGTAGGGGGGCATCCAGTCTTCACATGGTGCCTAAGGACAGGAAGTGACTAGCATGGTCCCAGTGTCCCCTTTGGGGACACTGCCACAAAGAGGCGGCTCTTTGGTCTGGAAAAACAATCAGTGCAAATGTCTAGGGGTTGAGCTCCAGGGGATTCATGGTGGCACAGTACCCCAGGGCTAGAAAGTCTCTGGACAATCTCCTCACCCTTCATGGGCAACACGTGGGCTTCTTCTTGCTGGCAGTTAAGTAGAGGTTGCTGTCATCGCTGTTGATGCCTGAAGAAGGGTGGAAAATATGTGAAGCAGGAGCTAGAGGTTTCCCTTGCTCTCTGCCACCCTCAACCAGGCAGGGCACTCACGGACAACATCCCCAATGCGCCGGGCCTCTGATTTCTCCAGTTCAGCCAGCACATTGGCCTCAAAAGTCAGTGCCGCCACACGGAAGAAGAATTCCCGGACATTCTCACCTGGCACAGGAGACACAGAAAGGTGCTCATAGGTAGTGCCAATGCTAGGAACATTAGGCACAGCTAGAGGTACAGGAGTGAGAAGAGAGGTAGGTGGGAATGGCACAGCAGCCCCAAAGCTTCTGACTTACCAGTGAGAGATGACACTGCCCAATACTCAGCCTTAATCTCCTGGGCCACCTTGAGCGCATCTTTCTCCATTAGGACATACTGAGCAGAAGTCTGAGGGAAGGTCAGAATCAGATGAGGAGCTCCTTCAGCAAGTTGGGAAGTTCCCCCCACTGGCACACTCACACTCAGGTCCTTCTTGGAACCCACAAGGAAGAGAAGCACGCTGGAAGGGTCATTCTCCTTGAGTGCATCAGCTAGCCATTGCCTGCCACAGGTGGTGAAAAGTGAGGGACAAGTGATCCTGATGGGCTAGGCCCCTCCTGCTGCCATCCATATGCCTAATCAGCCCCTCTCTGGTCCTCAATGCAGGCCTCTTCTTCCCTGACCACCCCTCCTTTTCTGAACCCTCTTTTCCCAGAGTGTCCCACTGTCTTGCAGCATCCTCACATACTTGGTATGTTCCAGGGAGGCTACATCATTCAGGTTGAAGACAATGATGATGGCTGGAAGGGTGAGAGAAACAACCCCAGGTTGATGGGAAAGACACTACTGGTTCATTTCTCCAGATCTCCCCCGCTCTAGATTAGGGGCCAGGTGCACTCTCAGACCCACCTCTCCCACTTCACTGCTCCTTACCCTGAGCTCCTCGGTAGTAGGTCGATGCAATGCATTTGAACCTCTCCTGTCCAGCGGTATCCCAACTGGAGGAAGGAGAAGTGAAGCACAGGTATGTGAGGGCAGGGTGGTAGGGTGTAGGTGCTGGGGGGAGGGATAGCTGGAAGGGGTGGGAGGAAGCACTCACAGCTGCAAACTGAAGGGGACGCCCAGCACCTCAAATCGTTCCATCTCAAAGTCTACTCCAATGGTGGCCTTGTAATTCTTATCAAAGGTGTCTTTGCAGAACCTGAGGTGGCAACAAATGCTCTGATTTGAAACCCAGCCCACCTGGCTAGGCTCAGGCCCACCCTCCCTACCCCAGCTCCAGCACCCCTTTACCTATTAATGAGGCAAGTCTTCCCCACTGACAGGTCCCCGACCACTATGACCTTGGAGATCTTAAATCTGCTGGACATAAGAGTGGGCAAGAGGAGTGGGCACAAGCTCTTTCACCCTAGGGAGTTCCAGTGTTCCCTACTAGATCCAGAAAGGTAGCTGCACCCAAGCTTAGGCTACCATAGACACCAAGAGTCCCAAGTAGCTGCCTGGACAGATGTGCTGGGAAGAAGGAATATTCTGTCTGATGGTTTAGAGATGGGGTCCTGCTCTGCTGCCCAGGCTGGAATGCAGTTGGCATCATCATTGCTCACTATAGCCTCAGACTCCTGGGCTCCAGGGACCCTTCCACCTCAGCCTTTTTTTTTTTTTTT